TTTCCCTCGGACAACCAGCATCTGCAGCGGTGCTGCCTTCTCACGTGGTAGGAAAGGGCTAGAAAAGCTCGGCCCTGAAAATGTCACACCTTACCTCAAGTATTTCCGTCTCCGCCGGTTAGGCCTTTTAAACAGAAACGGAGCCAACAATTCAAAGGCCGTGCATGACCTGACTCAAGCAGTTGTTTCTTGAAGTCCCACCTCCAGGTTGAAGTACAATCGTCAATGATTGGGAAACTAATATCTCGCCTTTGCTATAGGTGACACAAATCGGCGAATGCCAATAAAGTTTTCTGTATCTCTGCTGAGATTTCGTCAGTCACCAGAGGCACTGATGAGACTCCCGAGATAAGGGAAGCAGTTTACATGTTCGACGACTTCACTCCCTATCACCGATGAGACCTACCGATGCGACCCTATCTTCAAGTAACATTTTGCATTTCGAGGCGGAAAATCTCATCCCAAACATGCTTGCATTGTTGCTCAGTGTATTTGGAAGACTCTGCATTTTTCCACTATCTTCACCGAATAGGATTATGTCATCAGCACATTCTAAGTCAATAAACGAGCCCCCTGTTAGCAGTTCTACTCTCGGAAATTCAGACGAAGATAATGTTTGATCTGGGAGCACGACAATGAAAAAATTAAACAAGAATGGAGAGAGTGGACAGCCCTGACAGACATCACTTGAAGTAGAGAATTCCGGTGACAGTTCGCCATAAGCTCTAACTCGACCTGTATTGTTCGAGTAGAGAGCTTGTATAAGGTTAATGTACTTCTTTGGTTCACCTTTCAATGACAGACTGCCACAGAACCTCACGATCCACTGAGTCAAATGCCGCCTTAAGGTCCAGGAAGACAACTATTGTAGGACGTCTAAATGTGTCTTTGTAGCATGACCTGTCGTAGTGTGAAGATGTGGTCTATACAGCCACGTCCAAGACGAAAACCATACTGGTTTTCTCGAGTCTGCTCTTCACGAGCTATAGTTAGGCGTCTAATTATAATCGAGGCTCACAATTTAGAAACTATATTAGTTAAACTGATTCCCCTGTGATTGTCACAAGAGGACTTTTGTCCTTTCTTATAGGTTGGTCCAATCAGCGATTGAGACCAGTCAGATGGGTTTACGCCCAGTTCCCAGACTCCGCTTAAGGTCTCAGGTCTAACTGCTAAAACTGTATCGCAATCCCTGAATATTTTATTAGTCAATCTCTCACGGCCAGCTGCTCTATCTCGCTTCAGATTTCCAATCGCTTCTACAACTTCATAAAGATTCGGAGGAGTAATATCAATTTGCCATTCACGTAGACTAGAGATCGTGTGCAACCGAAGTGTGTGTGGGTGTGTAGTTTCCTACTGTTGCCTGTTACAGTTGCCTTTTCCATCTCTCTGGCTTTCTTCTCCAACGGTTCTACTTGATGATAATAAAGCTAAGAATTTATTTCAGGCGACCCCTGGAAACGCAAAATGTTACTTGAAGATAGGGTCGCATCGGTACCTGAACTAGTGATATTGAGTGATGTAGTCGGATGTGTAGACCGCTTCACCTATCTCGGTACACCCGTCTTTGCCTCTTCGTCATATCAGCCTACACCCCCACTGACTGCAGTCCAGACGATGTAAAAGATGAGTTTTACAGAAAGCTTTCGGACCTTCTCCAAAACGTTAAGCGCTCTGATATAGTTATAATGGCTGGTGACTTCAATGCTGAGGTAGGTAGACAAAGTGGAAATGAAAGACACCTAGGTGGATGTTATGATTTCGCGGCTCAGAGAAGCTATATCAGCTCCTCTCCTGGTTCTCACATCCTCCATAGTCCGTCTGAACTTTTTGTTGATACAGATATACTCTATTTGGTTTTGAGTAGTGCAGTCCGGGTAAATCATAAGGCTTTGTGTATTTAATTGTGCGGGAATATTGTTCGACCAATGACCAGTTTGTTGAACGCACATAGGTTTGCGGATCTCTCACCGTTTCCGTTTCTTTCTCCCAGTCCATGTCGTCCCCGGATGTCTTCCTATCCAATGTTGTCCATTCCAACTTTTGCATTCAGGTCTCCCATAAGAATCTTCAAATCCTTTGGTTAGCATTCCTCGACGATTGACTGCAGCCTCCCGTAGAATTGATCTTTAACGTCGTCATTGTAGTCATTGGTAGGTGCATAACATTGGATGACGTTCATTGTAATGTCCTCTTTCTTTGTTTTGAAGAATGCTTTAATGATCTTGGGTCCATGAGATTCCCATCCTATCAGTGCCTTTTGTGCATGTTTGGACAGCATCAGTGCAACTCCTTGTGTATGTGAAGCTTTTTCCTCTTCATGATCAGAGTATAACACATTTCCCCTGAAACTAGTCTCAGTTGTCCTACCTGTGTCCAATGTCCAAACTCGAGCACCTCGACGTTGTATCTTTTCATTTCCGCCGCAACTTGAAATAGTCTTCCAGTCTCCCACAATGTACGAACGTTCCATGTACCTACAAAAATGGTTGCTCTGGTTGTCAGAAGAGGTATCAGCCCCGTCACTTCCGAGGGAACTCGGCTTTCATCACGCGGCGTCATAATTCTTCTTCCAACTCCCAGGGCAGAGTTAAAATGGTTTGGATTATTTTTTCTGGTTAGCGTTTTTTTTGCCAAGTTAGATTTCGACGGAATGGGGTCGCCAACCCCATGTCCAACCCTCCTCCTTTATCCGGGCTTTGGACCGGCAGTAGCCCCTAAGGTTCTACTGGCGGAGTTATATATATATATATAGATGTCGTTGATGTTGCCTTGAAACTGTCACATGCTGTTTCAGACGTTGTACATTGTGGATTATGTCGTTTGGAACACTTCTGCGTGAAGAGAAAAATTCTCCTGGTAAACAAGGAGTTGTTTCATAAACAGACTGTGCTAAACAACTTCCGACATAGTATTTATTTGTCGATCATATACTCAACATAAATAATGGAAGCTTTCTGGCCCAATGATTTTTGCTAATTGCAGCTTTGATGGAGGCTTTCAGTTTCCGGTGTAGTCTATTAACTTAAGTATTCGTCATCGGCTGATAAGATGTTGTTCGAATGTATTTTATTCTGAGGAGTCCTGTGAGTTGTTGAAAGAGTTGATCTTCGAACGGAACACCTCTATCGATTGTAACACTAACCAGCATTCCATAATAGGAGATAATTATGAAATAGGTCTTTGGCTGTAGTCTCAGTTGAAGTGTCCATTGTGGGCACTGATAGAGGCTATCGTGTGAATCTGTCAATTTAGGTCAAAATATAACTGAAGCCATTTAAAATAGGTAGAGGTCCAACAGTATCTCTGTGTATTTGTCGAGTCCGGTGTCAGGGTGAGGAAAAAGACCTAGTGAGGAACTGATGTAACAATATGCTTTGAAATTATGGCACTGTACACATGTTTATTTCTAGTTACAAACATCCCGGTTCACACATGTTCATACAAAGTCTCACTAGTAAGTTTAATTGGTTTGAAAGGATTGATTGATGTGATTCGAATGCATAGTTTCTAAGGCGTTTCGTCCTAATAGCCTCGGAAGAAACAGTCGTGGTCCGACCATGAAGATAACACGCGATATGTTTATTTTGGCTAAAGAAGTTTCCTTGATTAGCATCAGCGTTTGTTGCTGCGAGTGATTTAGAAGAGATAGGATATCTGAAAAGTCCAGATCGACCAGCTGCACTCATGCTGTCCACTGAATCCCTTGATTACCGCCAAACGCAGATGTCCACATAATCTAATCTAAATATTTCGGACGGTTAGTATCTTGAATAAAGGCTCTAATTCAGTCGTTTAGTGCTTTTTTCCGCTGTCCAATAGCTTCCTTAGGTTGTCTTTCAGATCAGCCACAACCAGTTTTTGGTCTGAAAATGTCAACTGCTCTCTTTGCTCTTACATTTATCATGTACTTTACGAACCTTTTATCAATGTAGATGTAATTGAACTGGGTGTCTGTTGTGTGATGCGGTGAAACTCATCTATCTATGTCTATGCGTTTTTGAGGGAGAGTGGCGCCAACTAAAATGATTTTTATGAAAGATGTGCGATGGTGTTTGAAACGAGTGGTGCTCGATTTGATTGTCGATAGGAACAATAAAATTGTGATGCAGGTGAATCCATTGGACGACTACGGAATTGGACGAAACATGTTTCATGCGTTCCACTGCTGGCTACATTCTCTCTGTACTACATAATATCACCTAATTTAATTTCCTATTTTAAAATATACTCTTCCTATATTTAATTGTTTCTCATATCACTATGATTTCATTCAAAATTGTTGCTAACATCAATGCATTTAACTTTTATTTATCGTGACAAAACATTTAAATTGCTTCACTTCATCCACATTATAATCACCAGCCAACTTAATTATCTCATAAGGCATTCTATTTATATACATACAATCTTTCGTTGTAGTGATTTGCAACTCATAATCTAGCATTATAGCTTTTACATCACATCATCATGTTCATTTACTGTTCACATGTCCTCAAGCAATCGAATAAATTCGTTGACAAGAAATCCTTACGCTGAACTTTGTACTTAGAATGAAATGAAAAGAGGTAGACTTATAATCTGATTGAATACAGTTCATACAGCATGACATATAAAATATTTTCAGTTTAAAAATATTAGTTCAACGTTAGCTATAGCATGAACATTTATAAAACGGGAAATTGTGTTGAATTTCACATTGTAACATCACATTTCATAATCAGTTATTGTATGCAACTCTAAATTCTACATTCTCGTTGCATTTGTGCTTGAATTGTTCAATGACTTCTTATGATTTAAAGCATAAGCTAATCCAATACGCTTCCGACCAAAATCAAATACAGTATAGAAACTTCCCATGAAAACGTCACCAAGAATCCAATAATTAGGTGCTATGGAATCGTCATATTCAAATGGTAGTGAACACAATGTTTCAAACCAAAAATGAACCTGTAAATAAATAATTGAGATTGTAATATCAAAGTTAATACTTTCATTCTCATTGGTTGAAATCATAACTCTTCAAAAAGGATAAACGACGAGATGGTTAGTAATCTCTTCATTTATTTGATTACACGTTTTGTTATGTGGTTCAGCTTATCATTTAATATGACCATTCATATTTTATAAATTATCATATTGGACACAATCGAAGATGACTTTATTGAGATAACGATTTACATAACACTTTTAATAATAATCTCTTTGCTAAATTATAAACTCAAATAGGTATTCTTGTTATTATTCAATCTTGGAAAATGAATATATAGAAACAGCAATCAAATATTCAGTAATCAAATCGGAATAACTTTTTTCCAATTAGCAAGTTTACTTCACATTCATCTACTGACTTCAAATAGTGGATTATTTTCAATGAATGTGAAGATCATCGTCGATTTCAGTGTTTTTCTAATTTGCGCATTAGTTTGACCAATAGTGAATCAACTGAAAGTTGTTTCCGAAATGGATGACATACTGGTTCTGCAGTGCATTCAATAATTTTACTCATCAATGTGATCTTGTCATCATCAGTAACACTGGTCGCTTCAGCTTGTCTATACTTTCGAAATTTATGTATAACCGTAGAAATCGAATCATTTAACCAGCTGCCTATGTGTTTTGTCGATACTGAAGTCACTAAACACTTGTTATTTGTTCTTTACAGTTAAACAGTAAATCTACGAATCTGAATTGAACTTAACGTAGGTATGAGAAATTCGATTGTTTTCTTATATGGAGTGCCATTATTTTCTCAATTCAAAAAATATCATATTTGTTGTAGACACCAGTACATCTATATAAACCCAGTACATTTCGACCATTTTACTAACAGTCTCATAATGCTGGTTTATCTGTTATATCTTTTAAATAAAAAAATTTATTTCTCGTCATTACATTTTGTGTTCCCTGCATCTTGTTTAAAGTTGTTTGAAGTAAATATGCAAACTGAATTGTGATAAACATATTGCTTGTGAACATTATGTGAAGAAATACTTGTACGTACTTTGAAAACATAGTGACGTGGCTCCAATACATACTCTTTCTTGTGAAAGATGAACTTAATGGAAGGAAGTAGATCAATGCGCCTACAGTCAACCAGATAATGTTGACCAATATGATAATAAGTACCAAGCATTGAGTTAATTTTCTCCACGTGCTCTTTTCTACCAACAATACCTGACGTTCCTGTATCAATAGTAGCAGTACAATTATCGCAAAATTCCTTGTCCTTTATTGTCATACTAAATACACATGGAAAATATTTTAGCTGAATATAAAACTAAACAAATAAGCTACAAATAGGCTGAATACAACATGGAATATCACAGAAAAATTTATTCATAAATTAAAAAGTATTGAAATGCAAGATGGCAATAGTAACTAATAGTGATCATAAAGCTTAAAGTTATAACCTCCGGTTAGTTGTTGTTGGTGTTATGATTAGATAAACAAAACAGTAGTTCACAAACTTAGTGAATGATCAACGTGTACGTGAATACTTTAAACAATTGGATATCGAATAAATAATTCAGTAACAATAAATGAGTAATGTCAAAGCCGAACAAGGTTACTCAGTCAAAATTGTGTGTTATATGAATCAACACCTAATCTGAACGCTGTTCTGGGACCGCATATTATAAAAAGTGAAGAAATTCAATCACAACTTCAAAATGGACTGTTTTCTGTTGTTTGTGTAAATATCTGCATACACTACAAAAAACAATTATGAAACATTGCATTTATGTATTTCATCGCCAGTTTATAAGGATATAATCGATAGATTAACTCACCTTTAAACACTTTGCATTATTAAGTATTCAAATGTGTACATTTAAAATTAAGATACAACACTTCGTGAATTTCAAAATCAAATATTCTACACATATTAGATATGCATCAAACGCTATAAATGACATGAACTTTCTATCATTTCCTTAATTAGATATGTAGTATGATATACCACTTCAATCAATCAAACTAACTTCTCAATAAGTCAAATTCGATATTTCGAAAACAACTGAAATTTACATATCATATTCAACTGATTGTAACAACTTACCTTGACATTCTAATTATCCATTTACTGTTGCGAACAGTGGGCATAAATTCGAGGTCACCGTCAAAATACTCTGGATTAACACCGCCAAGTATCATTTCACCACCATATGAAGAGTCATCTTCCCTGAAAACAAGACAAGAATACGTTCACCACCAACCAATCGAAACGTAGTGTGGTGTTATGATTGATAGGAACTCTGTAGCTTTCTATAAATTGTAACATGACCACCAATGTATGTGATAGTACAAAATGTTATCAGTGAAAAATGTCACACACTCACCGATTTAAATAAAACGAAAATACTGGGTCCATATTCACATAATTGGACAGTATATTCGGAAACATTGGAATATTTCCGTAAGGTGATATTCGAGTACTAGACATACCAACTACTCCATCATATTTATCGGTAAGGTGGTCGAAGTTAAATATGTTTGTCATTTCAGCAAACGCTTGCCTTGGTATAACTAAAGAATTTATCTAGAAATGTACTTTATTTTGAAATGTTCTGAAACGTTACCCGTATGGTATCGACACTCCAAAATCCAGAGAAATTACCATCCAGATAACTCACATGAAAATTGGAACCATCTGCTTCATATGTGGATGA